AAAAAAAACGGCTGCGAGGGAGACTAGGTTAGATCCTGTTCAGTTTTAGGACGTTACATAACTGCCGAACGTTACCAGCTTCAATAAATCGTGTCTTTTTACCCTTCAGTGCAAGTCGTATTCTTAACGAGTCCAAGTGACGCAAATTGCACTTGCGAAACACCAATTAATTGCAGCGAAGCACACAATTCTCTCAAGTTTGGGAAAAATGCGAATGAATTACACGCTGGTAGTCATTCGCGGAAACTTGTTGATCCATGATACTCCACGGGTAGTAGAAAGAAATTTGTTCACCTTTGGAATATTTTATTACACTGATATTTACAAGGCATTTGATTGTGGTGATCATTGTAAACTATCAGAAAAACTTGAGAATCAAAGGTTGCTTATTCAAACGAGGTCTATCTCAGTTAGCTGCGCCGGGTTTCAGGAAACAGTGAACATGAACATTTCATATTGGGCTGCTTGGCATAAATAATTATTCTTTCATTGTTAAGAACAATTTACCCGACTCCCCATTAGGGCTCTGTAATACTGTTATGACCACCCCCTCCCATCACTGGCAGTTAATTGGCAGTCAATTTAAACTCTGTTGGCTACCAATGATCCTCATCCCGTTTCCCCTGAGATCTATGTTAATCTCCCCCCCCAGTCCTTCGCCCCCCTCCCTCCCTCCCTAAGTGAGAAATAACGACTGATCCTTTGGTTAAAAGCTTTTTTGATGCTTTTCACTCAAAACAGCATTTATTCGAACCAACCGGTTTGAGAATAGTGGCTAAAATGGCTAAACTTTGTTTGTCAATTTATAATGGTTCCGAAATATTAACAGAATGGAAACAGGTCAGATTTAATTAAAAGTCATTTTAGTCATACAATTTCTTCATTTCTTGTGGGCTGGAGATCACCAAGGTTGAGTTAGAAATTTCAAGCTCTTCTCAGTCACTCCCTCACTCGCCTAAGTGCTCCCTCGCTCCCTCGCTCGTTCGTTCGTTCACCCTTTCTCTATGCCTTTTATTTACCGCTTTTACACTGGCGCTAGGCACGAAGCCAAATTTAACTTTTTAGTCTTCATCGCTTGTAAACCACTGTGATCATCGATTTAGTTGACCTTGTCCATCCTTCAGTGCATTTTTGATCTTGAATTTTTCCACTTTCCAAGTTACGAGTATGATACTCACTCAAAAACTTTCTTTAAAATTCCAGCAGAACTAGCCATGGCTCGTCAAGTCATTATGTGGATCCTCATCTTCACTGTGTGTGGAGTGACCCCAGTCATTTTGGCTAAGGATAAGTTCTATTGCCACAATCTGCAATACGCTGGCCCGATAAAAGATGTAATAACGATGAAACCAACCAAACTTGCTGAGAAGACATCCAATGCAGCTAAGATAGGCATTGGTTTTGCAAAAACCATGATTTCAAACACCATAGGAGAAATCCCAGCGGTAGGGTCCATCCTGAGTGCGCTATTTGATGAATTAGCCGATGTATTTGGACTTGGAGGAGGCCTGGATCCAGAAGACGTTTACAACAGCTTGAAGGCCGAAATCGATAAGCTCAAAGAATACATGGATCAGGAAATTTTAGAAGCGAAATTGGAGAACATCAAGAACGCATTTGGAACGAGAAATGGAGGCATTCTCAGCTATGCGATGTACTGTCAGAAAACATACAAGAATGATGCAGAAGACATGGCCCCTTGTTTAGAGAATGTAAACGGTATGCTGACCTCACATTACCACAATTTCCTCCTGGAAGATGGGAAACCGGTCAGTGTCTACGAGTCTTCATTGCCATTGTTCCGCATGTATGGACAGCTGTATGTGGACACACTTCTAGAATTGATTGGTGCGGCAAGAAAGAGAGGCAAGGAGAGTCAGGCAGCTGCACAGGCAGACACCTTGATAAATAAGGTGGCACGATTTAAAAAGTATTATGAAAAATCTTTCAATAAAATCGAAGCTCTTCATACAAAGGTGCGCATCATGCCGGAGGATAACGGAGGCTGTGGATATATTCCAGGTGCTGATGTTAACATGTGTGTCTGCTCATTAGGGATTGGACCTAACAAATTCGATGAAGCAGAGATCAAGAAGAAGGGCAAAAGTTTAAAAAACTGGTGTGTTGGACTTTACTTTAAAAGTAACATCGACCCTTGCTCATGGGCCCTGAATGCTTACAACCGCACATACGCAATAATACGAAAACATGCTATTCAATCCTACTGGAAGAAACAAGTGGGAGAAGCAGTTGAGAACTGGGTGAAGATGGCCGACGAGCTGAAACCACTGAAGGAAAATATGAAGAGGTACTAACACCACTAGTATTATTTCTTCTTATACTACTACAATTTCTTTTATTACTACTACTTCTACTTCCACCACCACCACCACCTCCACCACCTCCATCACCACCACCACCACCACCACTACTACTACTACTACTACTACTACTACTACTACTACTACTACTACTACTACTACTTCTAGTACTACTACAACTACTGCTACTACCACTACTATTGCTACCACTACTACGACTACAACTACTACAACTACTGCTACTACCACTACTATTGCTACTACTACTACTACAACTACTGACTACTACTACTACTACCACTATACTGCTGCTGTTGCTGCTGCTTCTACTACTACTACTACTACTACTACTACTACTACTACAACTACTACTGCTACTACTACCTCTTGTACTTCTTCTACTACTCACTACTACTACTACTCACCACTACTACTACTACTACTACTACTACTACTACTACTTCTGCTGCTACTACTACCATAACTGCTCTTAATACTTCTACTTGTGTTACTACTGCTGCTATTACTAGTACTACTACAACTTCTAATGCTTCTATTTCTGCTACTACTGTTGCTACTACTACTAGTGCTACAACTACTTCTAATACGTCTACTTCTGCTACTATTAATTGCTGCTGCTACGAATACTACCACTACTACTGCTACTACTACTACTACTACTACTACTATTACTACTACTACTTCTACTGCTACTACTAGTACTACTAATATCATTACTTTTGCCTATTAGATACAAAATTTACTATTTGCATATTTTAGGTCACTGTCCTATCGAGAAAGAATCCAATTTGATCAAGAAGTTGCAGCTTACCATGCCAGAGTAAATCATGGGAAGTACTTGCGGGGAATACAGAATTGATAGCCAGCCGATGATTGGGTCGAACAGTGTGCGTCGAATTTAATGGATTTACATGGATATAGTCTGTAATCGGTTTTGTTAAGACGATGATTCTTTTCCGGCTCGTTTGCTATCGTTAAATTTTTAATCGTTGGTAATTTTAGGGGCGCTAGAAATAATTTGTTTTTATGATCCATGCTCATTAGAACTTATCACGTTTCAAAAGTTTGTGAAGCGTTTTTTTTTTTTGTAATGAGGGAAGAGGTAAGGAATAAGCTGATGTGTTATCTTGGACAAATAGTGTTTTTTTGTGGAATGAGAATGAACAGACAACAGGTGTGTATGGGTTGCTGGGCTATTACTACTGAGCAGACAAAAGAAGCCTATTAAAGGAAAAAAGTTTAGATCAGAAAATCATTTAGACTCATAATGGGTGTGAGAAACGAAAATATTCTAGAACTTCCAAGACTTTTTTCCTCAGTGAGTTTGAGAGTTAAAACTTTTTCGAGATGTATTTAGACTCTATTCCGAACGTCAGATTCAAGAAAACGCGCGGAAAGAGCGAGTCATGGGTTTCGATTGTATGATCCGAAAAAAAGATAGGCACAAGTTACGTGCAAATTTTTTTTCACTAAAAGGCCTATGTTTACCCGTTGGCTTTTCGTGATTATTTTTCTGGTTTTTAGCGGGTTTTTTTGTGGAAATAATAAACAGTAATTATCAGGAGACTTTTCCTGGTGCCAGGAAGGAAGGGATAAAGACAAAAATTAAACAAGTCAAACTTTAGAGGCTATCGGTCATCGAGCTCAGAACACGAGTTTTATAATCTGTTTTCTTCTTTTTTGTGAAGGAAAAACATTTTTTGAGCCCCTATTAATTAACTTTCTAGTTCAGTCGCTGGGTTAATATCTCATAGAAGTATTTGCTGTACGACCACAACTCTAACTTCATCTCAGCAAGGTGCATCCAAACTGGAAAATTGGAGGCTACCTTTTGTGGCGTCCGTCATAGACCCTCGTTTTTCAATTTCCTTAATCTTCGCTTAAAGCGAGAATGTTATGACAAACGAAATCAAAATAAAAAACAAACAACGGCAGCAAAACTGCTCTGAGCAGGGCCCAATACCGCATACTGACTACAAACCAGCTACCTTGTTCATGGCTCGTGCGGTGACCGCGCGTAAATGGGCTTGAGAAATAAGGTCTTGGTTTGAACAACCATTGATTCAGATTTTGCAAAAAGGAAGGCGATTTGGCAACACAACACTAACTGATAAATTCATGGTGCGTAATGACGACAAAGTTTCCTTGGATGAAATGGAATTTGTTTGTACTTTTGTTAAAATTTAACATGACATTTGATTCATTCTATTATCAGTTGTTGCCGGACGCTGCTTTGTTTTGACGAAAGTAATTTTCGAGAAAAAAACGAGAACAATGGAAAACACGATCCTTTGTACAAAACAAAGTTTTTTTTTCTGATAGTCGTTGCACTTTTGTCGACGATTATTCTCGCAGCCTCTCTCCGTCCTAAAGATAAAGAGGCAGGCGAAGGTCTGAAACTTGCCAGCTAACAGCTTGATATTTAGTACAAAAATATTGCATTGCCACAACTACAAAGTGGAATTACGAGAAGTACAATGTTTAATACTTGAAACTTGGAAATTTAATTGTAAAAAAGAAAATGTTGAATCGGAAAAAGTTTCATAAGGAATAAAAACTTGAATGTCCAATCGCGAAATAAGGAAGAATACTAAGAGTACAATGTCAATTCGCAATGTTGAATTTTGGCCCGGATGGGACGCCATAGATATTCCCAAATTACTACGTTGTTCGAGCTTCAAAGTCGCTTTATAAAGAGTCGATATCGTTTAGAACCGACGAAGAAGAAATCTGCCACGTGGAGAAATGCTCCTCCTGCAAAACCATCTGGACTTTTTACATAGTCAACCCAAGGGATGAAATCGCAGTTATCGTGGAGAGGGAGTCCTCGCCTTGGGTTGACACGTGTCACGTTCAAGAACAATGGAAGATCAATGCCACTAATTATAAGATAGAATACATTCGGAGCAGGTTTGAAATGGACGAACCAATCTATGTGATCAATTAAGGACTCGAAGGGTATTGAAATTGCGCGCTCAGAACAATTTCCTTTAGAGTTTGGCAAAACACTGACATTGAAGGATACTAAGAGCAATTACGCGTTGGCAAGCGTCGAACAACTGCCTTTGATTTATTTCTCACATGGCAAATATCTGTATATGAAACAGATACCTTATCGGCATAGTCGTACGGGGTCCTCGCGACAATAACAACTCCTAGTATAGTTCTTTTTGCTGTCTTAGGAGTGTACTTATTAAAGATTAAAGATCTAAAAGAAGTTGATATCGACGATGACGATTGAACTAATTGCGACCAAAGTGACCCGTGACAGTCGTTGCGTGACACGCTGGTTTGATTGTTGGGAGATTACCATTGTCTTTGCACTTTGACCGGTTCACGTGGGAATAGAAGACAAAATAAGGCAGCAGAATAAGTCCTTTGGACTGATCTACGATTTCTTTGTCGTTTATTACTTATTTTTTGAAAACCAGTTCAAATATTTTTTACATTATTTCGCAATAATGCATCAGTCAAAATAAACCCTTCCCCCCCAACTATTGTAAAGATAAAGTAATGATTCCATGTTCTCTGATTAAAAATAATTTTATTTTCCATTATTGGTTGCACAATTTCAGTTTGCTTTCTCCTAGATTATAGTCCTGTTTTCTTTATTTCGAATTCTTGAGGTCGCGAGAAGGGAGTAATTTTTACCTTGATAAGAACTTGAGCCAGCTTTCAACGTGAACGTCGGAAATGAAAACCTCTTGCTTTATTAATCTGCTCTCGTGTTATTTTTTGCTTAATCTTGGTTCCAGTCTCCTCGCCTTAGTTATCTACATACATAGCTGTTTTAAATTTCAACGGTTACTTTTGAAAATGTATGTGGAGTACACACGAAACGTCAAGTCATAATCAAAATGTGCAAGTTCAATATGTTTATCACTGCTGTTTATGTCTTATATTTTTGATCAAATTACGATGGCCCAAGAACAAAAGTATTTATGATACAATTTTTACCTTTTAATTTTTTTTGTGTATATATATTTTTTTTATTGTGTCCAAAAATAATAATATAATAATTGTGCGGACGGATAATATGCCATTAAAATTGTGTCACTTATTTCGAGGTGGGGGTAAGGCGAATTCTTTCGGGATACGGTACCCGTTTGCTAGACCCAGGCTCTAGTCTTCTTTTGGAATAGTCCTCTATCGCAAAGCATCATTGGCTCACATAGTTACAGAAGACGCAGACAAATTTGTCATACCGCATTTCATAAATGTTTGGCTCATACACCGGCTGTGTGTGTGGGATAACGTGATTGAATACGATACAGGTCGAGATAAGATGAACACGAATCTTTAACGGAGAACTAGAGCTGTTTAGATCCAAGGAACTTCGAGAGAAAAGCAGGAAGAGAAAGTAGACAAGAATGAGTGTAGCTGTGGAATTATGAAGTAGCTTTCTTAGATATTGGGGCACAATCACACGTGAATTGTCTATAGTTCTTGCCAAAAATGCCGCTTGAAAGTTTTGCCATCGGTAAAGTGATCGGCAAGGGAAGTTATGGGGAGGTTTACTTGGTGAAGCATCGTAAAGATAGAAAGCAAGTAAGCTTGGAAGACTTCGTGACGAAGTCTAATTGTAACCTTGATAGTATCGTTTGTTCCATACATCTCAGCTGTCTCGCATAATTGCGTATGAAACTTCTGTTGACTTCTTTCCTGTACGATTATAGTGTGTCATGAAGAAGGTCGATCTTTCTAAAGCCTCCTCAAGAGAAAGGAAAGCCGCAGAACAAGAGGTGAAGTTGTTTTCTACACGACTTTTACTTCCTTATATTCATTACGTCAACAAGACTTGATAACTTTATTAATGGACTCCCAACCAAGAAATTAGCTTATCCTGTCGTAAGATACAATTCATCTACAAGTCTGGTGATCTGAATTTATGGTGTACAGATGATCGATGGCTGTGAGTAAAACATCATGTTAACCAACTGTTTCGTGAATAATTGCTGTGGACATGTTTTCTTTGTCGACAGTGCATAAGGTGTGAACTCAATCAGTACACTGTAACTCGTGCTTTTTTTCGCCACTCAATTGCCATAATTTCTTTTCTGTGAGCTAGGGAACTACTGTGACTTCGTTTTTGGACTGAAAGGGAATTGCTATCTATGACAGGATGTTTTACCTTCTCACCCCCAGCAAAAAGAAATTTCTCCTCACAATATAAAATTAACCCTTTAACTGCTAAGATCTGATTGTTAATTCTCCCCTCTAGCTGCTACACATCTCTTTGTAAATTGGTTACGAGAATTTGGCGTTCAATCAAGATAACTTCAACCTGATAAGTTTGAGTATTCTCATTACCTGTTTGCTGGATCATGTATGGATATTATAGGGATAAGTTACAGTTTAATCACTTGTGGGAGTGAAAAGGTTCATATGTTTTCAAGCAGGAAGCTGCTGAGAAGAAAGACAAATATACCCTTGGTTTAAAATTCTCTGAGACACAATAATAGGAACTGTTTGATAGACCGCACTTTGAATTGTTATCAAGGTCTAGGGAGTAATTGTGTGTAAATTATTGGTGTGGCCAAATGTTTGCTTGAATATGAAGGAAAACAGAACTTCAAGGAACACTGACAAATGTATCATTGTAAGATTAAATAACCTTTTTTTAAGAGTTAATATGCAATTACCAGACTTTTGTTTTGTAATAACTTAATGAACATTAATACACTATCTTAATACCATAATTCCTAGTTTTATGGAATGAGTGTTGTAAGAGTGGGAACTAAAGGGGAAGTGAAAGTTTATTGTGGGGGGAGGGATGGGGACTATTGTACAGTAATTCTGTATCGTATAAAACTCCCTTTTTTTAATTTCCAGGCAAAGTTATTGTCTCAGTTGCGGCATCCCAACATCGTTTCTTACCGGGAATCATTCCAAGATGAATCAGGATTTCTGTACATTATAATGAACTTTTGTGAGGGAGGTGACCTGTATACGAAGCTGAAAGCACAGTCAAAAGAAGGAAAAGTACTTGAAGAAACACAAGTTGTTGAGTGGTTTGTCCAAATAGCCATGGCATTGCAGGTACAAAATATACAAGGTTTATGATAGACTTGTTTATTAAGTTAAATTACCATGACAACTCAGCCTAAGAAGTTAGTGCTGCTATAAGAACAAGTAAAGCCTGTTAATAAGCCAAGTGGCCCATCAGGCTGGCACTTAACTACAGTTTCTGCAGCATGGTGCCAACAGGAGCATTTCTACGTCCCCCGTGGATGGGATGCTAGTCCATTGCAGGGTTACCCCCAGCATTAAATTCGCCTGTACCCATTTAAACACCCGGGTAAAAAGAGGCACTGTGGGAGTAAAGTGTCTTTCCTAAGAACACAACACAATGTCCTCGGCCAGGGCTCAAACCCCGGAGTCAAGCACATCAACCATGAGGCAACTGCACCATGAAATGTAAGATGAAATCTATTGGGGAATATTAACTTTAATAATGTGTGCAGTTAACTTAAAATTACTGTCAATTTTAACAGTGTCAGTTCTTAGTACAACTAGAGTGAGCTTTTTAAGAATTGGAAATTTAAAATTGTTGTGTAGCAGGGATTGGGAAGGCAAATGAGGCAAATGAGACAAATAGGCCTACGGCCCCTGACTTTGAAAAGTTATGGGCCATTTGGTAACAGTATGGGCTGGATGAAAAGGAATATGGAAATCATAATGTGCAATTCGCGATATGTAGTCCTTCAAACTCGTTGTGATTAGTCTCAACTGACTCGGTGTTCAATTCCATGTTAAAAAAGTTGAAATTTTTCTTTGGCGTTGAGTACTATCTAACTTTGGTAGTTTCTTCAGAGGCGTTATCTTGATTTGAAATGCAAAAGAAATGAGTTCATAACACAAACCCCGGGAACACAAAGCACATGTCGTGCCGTGGTGGAATGTAACCTCGTTTGCTAACTGAGTACGAGTAGATGTCTGGGGAAGAAATTAAATGAACACGAAAGTTTGCCGATCCAAGAAGCAGATACACCAGACTTTTCTTTGTTTTAACACAAAATGGATACACAGATTGAACTGCTTATCACCTATCACGCGACTGAGGTGCATGTTGGGCTCGGTAAGGAGTTTTTTAATGTGACATTTTAAAAATTTTTGCGTAATATGCGCATGGTGCACAGCCTTCCTAATCCCTGTGTAGGATGTTCAACCAACACCATACAGGTTAATGCCTGAAATGTTCACTGCAGATTTATCTTTAGAAATCTTTTTCTTCACTGCATCTCTATTTTCTTCTCTGCATCTCATCTTTAACCACCCCCCAGTTAGCTCAATTGGTTAGAGCGTCAGATTGTGTTGTGCGGGAGGTTGGAGGTTCGAGCCCTGGCTGGACCAATACTCATGGTCTTAAAATAACTGAGGAGAATTTGCTACCTTTCTATAATATCAAGAAGTGGATAGATATTCTAGTCTTCTCGGATAAGGATGAATAAACTGTAGGCCCCGTCTCCTGCAGGGTTAGGGGTAGGAGACATTAATTTCCCACGCATGAGATTACTGTGTGGTGGATGTCCTCCCCTGGGGTGGGATGGGTGGGTTTACTGGGTCCGCAGTAATTGGCGCAAGCTGTTGCGGTGTTCCTGCCTGTGGGCGAATCTAATAAATTAAATTAAAAATTGAATTTAATTAATTAAATTAAGTAGTTTTTGATGAAGCGATCTAGTCACCAATTTGGGACTAATTTTCAAGACTTGGTCACCAAAGTGAAAAATTTAGTTGCATTGGCACCTGTATTAGGGGGAATTCTACGCCCTGACTTCAGAGGTTAACATGTGAAAGTAATGAATCTGTGTAACTTACATCAAAAAGATTTCAAAATGTAAAACATCAGGTGTACCCCTGAAAAAAAAAAACTGGTAGGTTATAGATTATATCACAGTTATACACCTGATGCATTACAAATAGTTGCAGATTAATGTAGCTACATGAAATATCTTTGTTAGATTATTGGACTGTGATAAATGACTTAATTGTTCAGGTTAACCATTATCAGGCATAAATTTGACTTTTGTTTAATTAGTGTTACAAATTTAATCATATATGCAACATTAAAGCAGTGATTAGATGTAATTGGTACATGTATATTTTTTGTGTTACTTTGCAGTATATGCATGAGAGAAATGTTCTTCACAGAGATCTGAAGACCCAAAACATTTTTTTGACAAAGAGCAAGATAATCAAAGTGAGTTACAGACAGGAATTTTAACTAAATTCTGACATGTCGATGTATTAACCTCTACAAGTTGATGTGCTTAAAAGAGAAGAAAGTTTGGTGCTCTTAAATGGAGTTGGACATACAAAGGTCTCATACTAAGTCTTCATTGCCATGCAGAAATGTGTGTGAGCTAGGGCAATTTTAATGTTGTGATCAGGTAACAGACATCCTGCACGGAGCTATTTTCAGAATTTCACAGAGTCATAAAATCATATAATTATGTTAGGCTTGGTATCTTTTATGCCTGGTAGCTAAATTGAAAGATGGTTAAGTTTTTGGTCGAATCAGCTAGGCATATTCTGACAAATGATTTTATTGTTGTATAGTCCCCTACATTTTATTGTTGTGTTCATCTGTCAGGTTGGTGATCTTGGTATAGCAAGAGTTTTGGAAACATCCTCTGATATGGCAACCACTTTGATTGGAACACCATACTATATGTCTCCAGAGCTTTTTTCTAACAAGCCTTACAACCATAAGGTAAGATGCAACTCTGAATTTCATAAAGTATGACATGTGTACATGTATGGAACCTAGGTTCTAGAAAAAGGACTGTTGCTAGTGTGGAGGAGTCACTGATGTTGATTAACCATTAGTGAGAAGTTGTTTTTCAGTCTGGTTTGTGGATACTTTTTTTTATCAGTTTTGCATAAATCAGATTTAACACATCAAACTTAAGAAACATCTCCAGTGTAATGTGACTCTGATGTTCACTTCTGCTCAGGTTTGTAAAATGACACTCCTTGTCACAGACAACAATCCTTTTAAAATCTATAAAGGCTGATAGTTTCTAAAGAAACTGTTTGGGGCTGCGTCGGTGGGGGTAACGAAATAATTTGGATATATCAACAAAGTTGAAATGGTAAATTGGCCTCCGTAACGATTACAAAAGCTGACGTTTCGAGCGTTAGCCCTTTGTCGGAGCAAAAAATCTACCCTTGTGTGTACATGGACAATCACAGTCAGTCCAGGGCCCTTTGACTTTTACTTGGCAGCACAATGACATTCTTGGTCTTAAGCACATAAATTAATGTAAATTAGTATACACACTCAGTGATCTTGGCATTTCAAGCAATTTGATTTGTTCGCTATCTCGGGCTAATCAACAATGTACACCTCCAAGCAAGTGGATAATGGGAAAAACAAATTGGCAGGCGTAAACTCGCGTTTCGCTAAAGTTTCAGAAGCAGAAATTGCCTTTAAATGGCTTCCTTTTAATTTTGTCGAGATCACTTCGTGTGTATAATACTAAAACAATTATTCTTTTCAATCTTGGTGGATAGTGGCTTTCAGGAATATATTTACCTCGCTTCTTCATGGCTCAGTAAATATTTAGCCACTATTCACCTCGAGTTCAAAGAAGAATAATTGTTAATTGTTACTCTGGTATTTGGTGATATTGATATTGGTGATATTCATTCAAATCAATTATTGTTTTATCTGTTTTTTTTTTTCCCCTCAGTCTGATGTTTGGGCTTTAGGTTGTTGCCTGTATGAGATGTGCACTTTGCGACATGCATTTAATGCAAAGGATATGAGTTCTTTAGTTTACAAGATACTCAAAGGAAAGGTATGAGCACAAAAAGGAAAATTTATTTTTGTGAGGTACAGACATTGTGCTTTGCAAAAATGCATGTAGAATAAAAAGGATGGAAAGTATCAAGCCTGGTGGTCAATTGAAGTATACATTCAATAAGTTTTTTACTTTGTAACCAATGTGAGACAAAGAAAAGAATCTTAGTCCCCTCACAAGTTATCAAACCACACACCTTCGAATTCACCTACCAATTGCTCTACCACCGAGCTAAAGAGAACTCAGTCAGCTGTTTTTGTGAAAAAAAAAATTGCATACTTCTTTATTTTGCTTTGCTGTTGGTGCATAACATTAATGACCTAACTCAATGGAGGGCAGATATGCCACCAATTAGTAAGTAAGGCATAATAGAGCTTATTTCTGCCATGGCTATTTTTTCCAAGATTACTTAAACCAAAATGCACCTCCCTGACATTACATCATACCTTGGGTGCGTTATAGCAACATGTTAAGTTCATCAATGCTCACAATGTATTAACCAAAATCATGTGTTATGGTCAAATGATAACAGACATATAATACTCTGTTTCTTACATTTGGAAACACTCCTGAGATTTTCGTATCAATTGTCTGCACCCTCTGCTGGGTAACCTTTCTCATAAATCAAACAATGGCCCCTCTCTGATTTTTTTCTCTCTGTCATTACCTTTCTGCTAGAAGATGCCAGTATATGTGCACGATCCTCGCAGTAAAGCACTATGAAAGCAATAGTGAGAATCAGACCTGAAAAAATTCAGGCCTGAACGGGATTCGAACCACTGACCGCTGCGATACTAGTGCAGCGCTCTACCAATTGAGATAACAAGCCATCTGGGAGCAGGCCATCAAATGTATTCGACATAAACCCGTAAGATGATAAATCAAACACATCAAATATATGAAATACGTATATCTGAACCGCTGTTATGAGACGTATATGTGCACGATCCTTGCAGTAAAGCGTGTTAATGTGGTAAGGAGAAAATCCTTGTTGGTCACTACAAGGAGTGAAAGGGTTAGCAGTGAACAAGGAAAATCTGTGTCTCGCCTGTAAAGTACTCAATTAAATTCAATCTTTACAGACTCCACCTCTGCCATCAAATTACAGTGATGATCTGTGTGGGATTGTTCAAAGTATGTTGGAACTAGAACCAGAGAAGAGGCCGAGTGCCGCTCGCCTTTTGCGTCACCCGTACATCAAGAAACAGATTGCTCTCTTCCTCGAGGGAACAAAAAATAGGTTTGTGGAAATCATCGGTAAATCGAGCTTTTCCTTTTGCTGAAAAGTTATCATCAACTTGAGAAGACACTGCAGTGCATGCTGACTTGAAATAAAGATAATAAATGGTAATGCCTATCTTTTAGGTAGAATTTTAAGTTTACGGCAATTGAATTAATAGTTTTTCAACTTTAATCCGGAAAGTGACCTTCAACTTTGGAAGATGTCCTGCCTGGCAACTTCAAATTTCGCCATAAATGATTGCTAAATGTATTTTTATAATGGAATTTTAAGTAAGGGGTGATTTGTAAATAGCCTGACTCCCTCGATCTTGTTCATTGCAACACAAATTTTAGCCTCTAAAAACCTACCCGTTCCCACCGAAGGGAAGCTTGGATACCCTACACCAGCATTTATCCAGATATTTCTGATCTAAATGCAGACTTCACATATTTGCTTACATAATTTGTTTATCTTTCCTTATTGCAGGCAAAAGCAGAAAACAGTTACAAAGGAAGAACGAACCCCTAGTGCAAAATCAAAATCATCTTCATCGCAACCGCCCAAATTAGATTCTGGATACGTAGGATCTGGACTTGAAGTTTCTATCGCAACGATTTCTGCTGTAGACTGTGTTCTAGAAGACGAGAAGTCAACAAAACAATCACCAAAGCCTTCATCGAGAAATGACCGAGGTAGATCTTCGGTGGATTCCACAAGTTCGTCGAGTGGCTCTTCTGAGAAAGGAAGAACCGAGGCGGATGTTAAGAAAACTGAGCAGAAAAATGCTGTGGATTTAAAACAAAAAGAATCAATAAGGAAACAAATGGCCGTCAGGAAGAAGTCAGCTGGTGTTGAGAAGACAAGTAATAAACAGTCAGTGAAGCAGAGAGGTGTTGAAGAAAAAGCTGTTCCCGTTAGGAGATCTTCGGAGGATGTAAAGAAAGCAGCAGTTTTGGAGGAAAAGAGAGCAAAACCTAGTCCTGTTAAATCAAAAACACCCAGAACAGAGGTGAGACCAGATAGAACCGATAATCGGATCTCGCTTTAAATATCAGCTATTGAAAAGTCCGATTGTGGTGGTTTTTCTCCCGTTTTTAACCTCTAGATCATAGTCAGAGTATCACTAGCCAACACAACACATGCAATAAAAAAATGGAAACAAAGTTAGACGGATTTTTTTTATTCGTTGAATTCGGCATTCGCTTCCCTTGTTTCCTCTTTCTCCATTCTTTTCTCTGTCTGTTTCTTTCTTCTTGAAACTCGGATATGGCCTGCAAAACAGGTGCCACTCTAAACGTTTTTCCGGCGAGCAGAGGAAGCACGCGCGAGGCGAGCGCGAGAAGAACGCCCTTCTCCCTCGCGCGTCTTTCGCACTTTAGACAAATATCTTTTTGTCTTAGTGTAGATTAGTTGTTTTTATCTTTAAAATAATCTGCTAATTGCTTAATTTCTGCTAGTTTCTTATCCCTGATTGTGATTTCTGTAAGATTCCAATAAGAATAGAACATACTCAGGTGTACTTTCCCTTAGATAAAACTAATCCAGTTATTTCATCCTAATTTAGTCTCAACAGCCTCAGCGACCATTACCGCAACCCCCCAAGGGAGGTCCCCCAGGGGGAGATCTGCCCGCGTCAAGAAGCCCTAGAGCGAGGCGCAGATACAAAGTAACGTCCAGTTCACACGCGGCCAGATCACAATACGCTGAGGAAGAAGAGGAAGAGGACGAGGAAGATAAGAGTAACGCGGATTCCGAACCAAGGTACAGTATCAAAATAAAAATTCCTCTCCTACAAAAATCTCGTGCTCGTTCCTGGTCTTTAAATTTACTTTGGGATGAAGCCTCTAACTCCCAAGGCTTGATTGTTCTTTCTCTCCTCCAGCTGCTACGCGTTTCTTTGAAAATTAGTTACAAGATTTGGTGTTAGATCAAGATAACAACTTCTATGGGATAAGTCTGAATATTCTCATTTCCTGTTTGCTGGATCACGTTTGAATATTATAGGGAGAAGTTACATGTTTATCTCTTCTGGGAGTTAAAGGGTTAAGTGCGGAGAGAGGTCGACAGATCTCCTACGTGTATTATCACTCAATGTCGTAGGGTACGTTGTGTTATTGTAGTAATGAAAAGTGTGCAGTGACCACGTCTGATTCTCTTGTCCTGATTTTTATCTTTAGTTCCAAGTCTGTCAGTGAAAGCACACCTCAGGTGAGTACATTGCGGTATCATCTCTTGGAACAGCCCATCTTGAAATCCATGTGAAAACCACGCGAAACCTTTCGCACTGCCAGATTAGAGAAGCCAGTAAGAGAAATCTAAGCCTTCTTTCCTATAGAGACTTGGTTTCTGTGTAGCGTTATTGCTATTGATCGTTCATGCCATCTACCATCGAATACTTGCGAAGCGATACTCAATTATTTTAATCGAAAGAGAGAACTTTTGATGAACCCTGATGACGGCAAACAGCCGAAAACGTTTGGTTTTAATCTTTTAATTACTTTTTAGCCTTGTATATTTAATATTTTTTAGAGAACTTTTCTTTCGAGGATTTTGATTTAGGAGGGGTTTGAACAAAAATGAGAAACTTGTCAAAGTGGTGGATGCGGTATCACCCGCGCAGATGAAAATGAGACTATGCACTCGTTAAGGTTCCATCAGTGACTCGAAACGCTGTCCTCAAGTATGCATTTATGTTGTAAATAATCAAACCTCATAAACCGTAATTATTCGATTTAGCGCCTTCGTTCCAATAAGCGCCCCCTGTCTAATAATAAGCATCCCCGTCGATTTTTTTTTGGACCGCAAACGCCCCTATTCTCATAAGTGATCCAACTGAGTAGGCGCCCTCATTCCAATAAGCGCCCCTATTCTAATAAGCGCCCCCATTGAATGAGCACTCGTTACATAAGCGCCCCTATTGAGTAAGCACTCCCATTCCATTAAGCGCCCCTATTCTAATGAGCGCCCCCATTGAATGAGCACTCGTGACATAAGCGCCCCTATTAAGTAAGCACTCCCATTCCATTAAGCGCCCCTATTCCAATGGGCGACCCTATTGAATGAGCACTCGTTACATAAGCGCCCCTATTCCAACAGGCGACCCTATCGAGTAGACACTCACTCTAAAAAACGCCTTATTGACTTGACTTACAGAGTGGCTTATCGGCCCGTGAAAGACGACGGCTCAAGCAGAAACAAAAGGGTGACAAAAACGCTGTGCCTACCACGCCCTCAGCAAATGTACTCCCTTCCCCTAGTGAAGTGATCGCTGCTAAGGTTAGACGTTCTCAAGAGAGCAGTCAAGGAGGTGAGTTCGTGGTACACTAGGAAATATTTTCCTGTTCTGGTCATGTTGGAGGTTTGCATTCCCTGTCAAACTCCTCCATCCCCGGCAAGGTTCTTTTCAAGAGTCGATGACCGTTTGTTATATGTTTCAAAGAAATATTTTCCGAATTATTTGTTCAACGAGTGTTGCTTCAATTTGAATTTGAAAACCCGTTGCATTTATTTTAAAATCTTCTCACTGTCCGCCAATTATTGTTGTGAAGTTACCGGTGGGATGTTAACGCTTCAAAAATGGATCTTATGTTGGAAGAGATCCTCCTTGTGTTGACCTTTTCATCCTTTCTCGTTCTCGATAACGACATCCGGTACATCTCCTTTCCCCTTTTTCTTCACGGCTAAACAAAACCTCCCGTCATTTACTGGGAACTTTCACGGTTGAGAACATAGCTGTAGTTTGTGGTTTTTTTTTTTTTTTACCTCCTAAGTAAAAACGTAGGAAGAGCCCTTTTATTCCTGTCCCTTGCTTGTCAATTTATACCTCAAAGGTGTTTGTCTTCACCGATGTAATGTTATTGTAAGGTTCTCTCAATCTAAGCGAGTTCTTCGCGCGGCTAATGTTAAAAGAAATCCTGGCGTGTTTCTTTTGAGCGAAGAGGTTCCTAAGGTTCTAATTTTGTAACCTTCCGTTATTTCACATTTCAGCCACACCTAGGCAGGGGTCAGCAGGCAGCGATCCAAGACGTCAGCTGAGTTCGGAGGGCTTTGATACCCCGGATGGAGCCAGGCCCATCGTGCGACAAGAATCCAGTGTTTCAGTTACGGTCGGTGAATGAATAAATGAATGATAAACAAAACAAGAGTTTACTTCTAACCTCACTGAATTGTATCATCCAGGGTATTGAATAAGCAGGCTCGAGAGATCTCATGTCATGTTGACACTCAACGAAATTTTGCAGGAGTGATTTAACGAGATTATATGATACTGTACGGTAGTTTACAATCATAGAGCAGTAAAGATTTTGGTTTGCACTGCCATTTGTCTGTTTTAAACTTTCAAAGCTTAAGAGGATTGAAAAAGTTCTGTTACATGCGAGCAGTCTTACTGTTGGGGTCTTTGTTGGCTTGCCTATTGAATGCTTCTGCAGAAGACGTATTCGGGTCAATATGTGCAGTAGAGACTAGGAACGCAACGGATTAGGAAGGGGTGGAGAGGGTAGGGGGTTCCTATCCTTCCACTTCTCACAAACTTGAGACCAGATCGTTCTTACAGCTTCTTGGCTAGCATTCAATTCTCAAACGATGAACCTGCTCACACTATGTAGGAAAAAAGATGTTAATTTCGCAAGTTTCATTTCTGTGCACAGGAATCAGTTGAACAAGACAGCGACACGGACTCAGAGCTAGAGGAAATTAGTTTAGATGAATCTTCTGCATCTGCGCGAAGGTGAGTAATATTCCGTTAAAATGATATAGCCATGTATTGAGTGGACAGAGTGATTTTTAGCGTCGTAAAATTGGAACCATAATCATAACATGGAAAGTTAAGAGAGAAGGAAATTGTCTTGAGGGGGACAATAAGAACTGTCGAAGGGCTGTATCGAAGGGCTGTATCGAAGGGCTAACGAAGGGCTCTGTCGAAGGGCTAACGAAGGGCCCTGTCGAAGGGCTAACGGAGGGCTCTGTCGAAGGGGTAACGAAGGGTTAACGAAGGGCTCTATCGAAGGGCTAACGAAGGGCTCTGTCGAAGGGCTAACGAAGGGCTCTGTCGAAGGG